GTGCCCCTGGCCCAAGGTGCCCCCAGGGCTTCCGAGGGGGCCCCCCACGGCCTCCAGAGCACCCCTCACGAAGCTCAGAGGGCCCCGAGGGGGTCCAAAGTGGAGCGGCAAGCTGGGGGCACCTTGGGCCAGGGGCACCTCTAGCAACCCCCGAGATGGCCCCGCCATCATCAGGAGGGGAAGAAGCACACACAGACACAATCAACCGTCGACTCCCAGGAAAGTGTGGGAAAAGATGGGAAGTGGGGGGGAAGACGAAAACCCAGGAAATATGAGAAAGTATGGGGAATCCTTTGATTTGTGTGTGCGTCCAGCTGTGCGTCGCAGGGCCCCTTCACGTCAGGCTCCCCAGGAGCCTCCCAGGAGCTGCCTCCGCAGGGAGGCCCCCCGTCGCCACGGCCGGCGGCGCCTGGGAAGCGCGGCTCCGCGGACTTCTCGGGGCCCGGCGGGAGGTCCGCCTCCGAAGGAGGCCCGGGAGGCGCGAAGAGCGCAGGGGAAGGAGGAGGAGGAGGAGGAGGAGGAGGAGGAGGAGGAGGAGGAGGAGGAGGAGGAGGAGGAGGAGGAGAGGAGGAGGAGGAGGAGGCGTAGGTGGCGGAGCGGAGGGGAGGAGGAGGAGGAGGAGGAGGAGGAGGGAGGAGGCGGAGGAGGCGGAGGAGGCGGAGGAGGCGGAGGAGGCGGAGGAGCGAGGAGGCGGAGGCGGAGGAGGCGGAGGCGGAGGAGGAGGAGGAGGAGGAGGAGGAGGAGGAGGAGGAGGAGGAGGAGGAGGAGGAGGAGGCGGAGGCGTAGGAGGCCGAGGAGGAGGCGGAGGAGATGGAGGAGTTGGAGGAGGAGGAGGAGGACGATGGGCCGCCGTGGTCTCGGCGGGCCTCCTCCGGCCAGGGCGCTGCAGAACGGCGGGGGCTCCCGGGGCCTTCTCGAGTGGACCGACCGCTGGGCGAGGACGGCGGTGCACTGGGCCGCTCTCAACGGCCACGCGGCGGCCCTCTGCACGCTGCTGGAGCACGGGGCCACTCACGAGCCCCCGCCCATCGCCCGAAGAGGGGAAGGCGGCACGAGCAGGCACTTTCGGAGGTCCCGCGCGGATCTCCGAAAGCCTCTGCCCGAGCACGCCGCTGTCTCGTCTTCGGGCCATCACCGAGCACCAGATGGGCAAGCGCACGCACCTCAAGCAGGAGACGCCCCTGCAGGCCGCTGGCACGGCGGCCGATGGCCCGATCGCTCTTCTCGGCGATCACCGCCGCAGCCGCTACCGAAGTCGCCACCGCCCGTCGCCATCGTCGCCGCCTGCCGTCGCCGCCGCCGCCGCCGCCGTGCACGCCCCTGCAGGCCGCGACCCGCGTGCACGGCGCGGGGAGCGACGTCGCTGCGCGCCTCGCCGCCGCGGCGGAGGCCGCAGGGCGCGGCGGGCAGCGCGCCGCGGCCGAGGGGCGCGGCGGCGGCGGCGGCGGGCGGCACGGCGCGGGGGGCCCGCGCTACCTAGTCACCATGGTGGCGGCGCGCACGAGGGGGGGCGGCGCGTCGTGGGGGAACCGCGGCGGGGTGATCCTGGCAGTGTTTTTCGATGGTCCTCGGGGCTTGTTCTCGTCGGAAGCTGGAGCGTGCACACTGTGCAAGGGGCGGGGGCTGTTTTCCGATCCCTGGATTCTTTGAGGTGTCGGGGACGACGTCGGGGTGGTGTGGTGTATGTTCCCCAGTCAGAGCTTGCCTCGGTAGGGGTGCTGGCGGATTCATATGGTTAGGTGAGGTGGGGCGCCGATTTCGGCGGCACGCCCTGGTGCCCAGGTGCCCGGGTGCCTGGGTGCCCAGGTGCCCAGGTGCCCGTGTGCCCGGTAGCCCTATAGCCCTACAACCCTATAGCTTTATAGCCAGATAGCCCTATAGCTTTATAGTCCTATAACCCTATAGCCCTATAGCCCTACAGCGCGGTAGGCCTATAGCACCAGAGCCTTGTAGCCCTATAGCCCTGTAGCCCCATAGCCCCATAGCCCTATAGGCCCAATCATATTCTGATTGGGCATCATTTGCTTCCCCAGATTCCCCAGGAAACAACGAAACATGTATACACCAGGATCCCGTATACACCAGGATCCGCTTTCCTGTGCGAATCTCCGTGCAGGACCGGCAAAAACGTTGGTGTATCGAGTTCGGCTCCTTACCTGGCAGCGTTGTTCGATGATCCTCGGGGCGTGTTTCAGCCCAGCGTGTGCTTGCCCCGTCCAGTTCCGTCGAGAGCACGCAGCGTGTTTCAGCCCAGCGTGTGCTTGCCCCGTCCAGTTCCGTCGAGAGCACGCAGCCCGTGTTGGCCCTCATTGGCTACGCCGCCTGCGTCGCTAGGGAGGGCTTCGGTAGACACACGCACGTCTGCTGGACACACGTTCTGAGGATCATCGAGCTCTGGAGACAGCGGCGGCCCTCCCTGGTGCTCTCTCGTTCTTCTTGGGGTCCCCCTGGCGGCGCCTCCGGCGGCGCCCGAGGGGGACGGCGGGTCGGCGCTGCACCCCCCTGCCAACGGCGCGCGGAGCGCGCCGGGGGCGTTGCCGGAGCCCCCGAAATTTGACGCTCATGCGAATGTGCTTTCAGGAGGGAAAAAACACAGACACAATTAACCGCCGATTCCCCAGAAAATATGGGGAAATATGGGCAGTGGGGGGGAAGACAGAAGCCCAGAAACTATAGGAAAACATGGGGAATCTTTTTATCTGTGTGTATTTCTTTGTGTGTCCTGGGGCCCCTTCATTCTTGGATCGGCGGCGGGATCGGCAATTTCGAGTCATGTTGACAGGTGCTGTCGGTTTTCTGTACTTAACTCGAGCGGTAGGGGAGCTACAGAGCTGGTACGCACAGAAACCGATCGAGAATCATCAGCGGCGTTCATCTGGAGCATCAAGAGGTCTCAACTTAGTCTGCTACTCGAGCTAGGTCCGCGAACCTGTTCGTATTCAACCGATTTTGTTGACAGATGCTGTCGATTTTCGGTGCATAACTCGAGCTCTACGAGAGCTAAAGAGCTGATAGGCACACGTACTCGATTCAGAATCACCAGGCGCGTTCGTCTTAAGCATCTAGAGGTCTGCATTCGGGGGGGCCCCGCGTCGGCCCAGGACTTCCGCGCGCGGGCCTCTTCTCGAGGGCTTGCGCGTCTGCCCTTTTTTTGTTTTGCTGCTTCGGTTCTGGCGGTCTCTGGCGTCGGGGACCCGTACACCTTAGGCGATGCTTAAGAAAACTTAAGTTTTCGGCCAGAGTCTCGATTATTCTTAACGTTTCAATGTAAATCTTAAGATTTTAAAAGAAATGTTGGATTTTTGTTCAAGTTCTGAGACTGTGAATTTCTTAACCCATGATTTCTTAAGCATTTCGCAGGGTGTAGGGGGCCACAGGCGAACCCTACCCCTAATTTCCCCTACCCCCCACGATTTCTGATCTCTGGGCACCGCGGGGCGTCGGCTCTCTGGGCATCTGGACTTCCTGGGGCCGCGTGCGGAGCAAGCCAAGACATCGCGTGCCCGGGTGCGGTCCGGCTCGACTCGATGCACCTGGACGTAGGCCTGGGCTGGCCCGGGGCAGCTGGGCGCGGCGGTCCGCTCTCGATCCGATATTATTACGGGAAGGATCCCTGGCGATGCGATCCGTTTCTGGTCCGACCTGACCTGTAGGGGGTCACATGCGAACCCTACCCCTAATTTCCCCACGATTTCTGAGCGGGAGGGTGGGGTTCACTTCGTTCGGGAGCTCCCGAGCAAAGTGAGCCCCCCCCCCCCAGAAATCGTGGGGGGTAGGGGTAGGGTTCGCATGTGGCCCCCTAACCCGTGCCAGGGCCTGGGGGCCGTCAGGAAACGGCCCAGGATTAGGTCGGGCATGTCCTCCTACAGGCGAATTTTTGGGAGACAAGCTATAATTAAATTAGTCAAGAAGTATTTGCCAAACATAGATGAAACATCGTCTCCAGACCGAGTTTTGAACTATTCTTGAGCATTCCTCCTGTAGAGGGACGTGCCCGACTTAAGCCCAGGATGAGAGGCCCGTCCCAGGGAAAGGGGTCGAGACCGCGGGGTCGACGCCGTGAACAGCGCACGACGTCGGGGGCCTGGGACAAGAGCGTGGCGCGGGGGGGGGGCGGCCTTCGGAGAAGGCAGGGGGGGCCTCTGAGAGGGCGTGGGTGCCTCTCAGAGGCCCTCCCAGCCTCTCAGAAGCCCTCTCGGAAGCCCCCTCGGCCCTTCGCGAGGGTCCCCGTCTTCAGCGAGAAGGCCCGCCCCCCCCCCCCCCCCCCCCGATCGAGCCGTCCCCCTCGCGCGCGCCGGCAGCCGTCGCCGAGCCGAGCCTGGAGAAGCTGGCGCTCTGGGAGCTCCGCGAGCGCCTGGGCGCGGCCGTGCAGCGGGAGCAGTGCCGCATCTCGGGACACAGCTCCTGGGAGGTCTCGGAGGTGGATACACCTTAGGCGATGCTTAAGAAAACCCAAGTTTTCGTCCAGAGTCTCGATTATTCTTAACGTTTCAATGTAAATCCCAAGATTTGTTGATGGAAGTTCTGGGTTTTTATTCCACTTCTGAGACTCTGAATTTCTTAACCCATGGTTTCTTAAGCATTTCGCAGGGTATAGGCCTCCTACCCTGACACGTCGATTCAGGAATTGGCCGTTTTCGCTTCGCGAGAGGGCGTCGCGGCCGTCCTTTTTGCGGGTCCGGGTCCGTCGGTTTCGGTCCCAGGCCGTTTTCATTGAGGGGATGTTTTTTAAAGGGAGGTTTGTCCACCGCCGAAGGTTGGGTTCAGCATCGGAGCTGGCACATTCGTGACTGCAAGCCGGCCTAATCTGGCATTGTGTCCCGTCCCGCCGAATCTGGCTCAGTCCCGCTCGAGTCCTGCTCAATCGGGCTGAAACGTGGGGCCTGAGCCTGGCTAAGTAGCCCTGCTCAGTGGCGGCGTGTCAGTGTGGCTCGGCAGCTCTTGACTGATCGCTCCGACGAAGACCTCACAGCAGCTGCTTCCTGACGCATCTTCTTCAGCTCCTCGGCGCCGCTGGGGCTGTTCCGCGGTCTGAAGTCCGCGGAGAAGATTCGGGGAACAGAAGATGGCACAAGCATAAACTTTTGGAGGTCCGCGCGGATGTCTCGCATGGGCGCTGGAAGCTCGCTCCCCGACGCGCGGAGCGCGCCAGGGAGGCATGGTGCACCGCCTCTGGGCCCAGGATCGACCAGGCCCGAGGCAGTTGATCTGTAAAGACTTCCTTGTCCCAAAGGGGGGGACCCCCAGCGCCGATCCAGAAACTCCGCGAGGACCTTCCCCTCCTCCTCCTTCTCCTCCTCCGCCTCCGCCTCCTCCTCCTCCTCCTCCTCCTCCTCCACCTCCTCCGCCTCGACCTCCACACCATTCTGTGCTTATGCCAGTGCCTTTGCTCCCCGAAAGCTCTGCGCGGTGGTGCTGCACGCGCAGGGCGCGCGGCTGGCCGAGCTGGCCGGCGCGTGCGAGGCCGCCGCCGCCGAGGAGGCGTGCCGCGCGGCCGCAGCCTGGGTGCTGAGCGCGGGCGACTGGCAGGCATCGAGGAGGAGGAGGGGGAGGAGGAGGAGGAGGAGGAGGAGGAGGAGGAGGCGGAGGAGGAGAAGGCGGAGGCAGAGGAGGAGGAGGCGGAGGAGGCGGAGGAGGAGGAGGAGGGAGGAGGAGGGGAGGAGGAGGAGGAGGAGGAAGGAGGGAGGAGGAGGCGCAGGCGGAGGAGAGGAGGGGAGGAGGGAGGAGGAGGTGAGGAAGGAGGAGGAGGAGGAGGAGGAGGAGGAGGAGGAGGAGGAGAAGGAGGAGGAGGAGGATTGATCAAGTCAACAGTATTAGTACTGTTAATCATGCTACACATTACAATACTGCTACTACGCATGGGATAGATACGGAGACAATCATAGCACTCGACGCAGAAGCGGACGAAGGTTCTGGATATCGCTACCCTTGCCACGCTTTCGCCTTTTTGGGTCTCCTGGGAAGCCCTCGTCGCCACGGCTGGATTCGCCTCGAATTTCTTGTCACAGTGTACCCTCGGTGAGGTCTGAGGAGGCGCGGTATCGGTACCTTGTTGTTTCCCTTAGTAGACATAAACTGTCGGAGGTCCGCGCGGATTGCTTGGACCGGCATCTGGCCCCCCTCCGTGGCTCGCGGAGCGCGCTAGGGGAGGCGCCGGAGGCGCCGCCAGGAGGTCCAACGCCCATCCAAGAGATGAGGGTGAACCTTCGAAAGTTTGAGAACGACGATCTCTCTCTCTCTCACTCTCTCTCTCTCTCTCTCTCTTTGCATATACATACACATCATATACATGCATACGCCTTTATATATCTACATCGATCTTTATATACATACATTTGTATCGATATATATATATATATATACACACTCATATTTATATACATATGTATATCCAAGGCCCCTGGCTTGGCCCATCCTGGGCCCAGGAGCGCTGTATATCCGCACCTGGACCCAGGACTGGCCACCACGCTTGCGGCTTTTTTCCTGTCAGGCAGCCGTGGACCTGTGGCGGCGCTTCCAAGGGCTGGCCCCAGACGAGCCCGCCGCCCCTCTGACCTTTAAGGTCACCTGCCGACGGAAGGGCGCGCGCTTTGCGCGCGTCTCCTCGCAGGCGCTCGCCGTGACGCTGGCCTCGTGGTTGGCCAGGCAGATGGGCTGGAGCGCCAAGGTGAGAGCGCCGGACCTCGAGGTTCGAGGAGGACAGACCTGCATGAGCAAAAACCGTCGGAGGTCCGCACGGGTTTCTTTGGATCCGCGCTGAGGCCCCTTGGCGGGGTTCGCCCTGGTCGCCGCCATGGTCCAGCTTCTGGTGCACCATCGTATATCGAAGAAAATTCGGGGGCCCCTCCTCCTCCTCCTCCTCCTCCTCCTCCTCCTCCTCCTCCTCCTCCTCCTCCTCCTCCTCCTCCTCCTCCTCCTCCTCCTCCGCGCGGTTTTGAGACTCGAGTCGTTCTCCGAGGACGCCTCCTCGAGCGGCGGGGGCCTCCGGCGGCCCCAGAGCTGTGCGGTGACGGGCCGTGCGGTGAGGCCTCCGGGGATCTCGAGGTCACCCCGCGGGGTCTCTCGCCACACGGACTTGCCAGCAAGACATTCGCGCGGACCTCCGAGAGGCCCTGTTGATGCAGGGCTCTCTTCTACCGGAGGTGCGGGTGCTGCTGGGGGACACGGACCTGCTCGTCGACCTGCCGCTGCTCTACCAGGCCGCCGTGCGGGTGGGCGGCGGCGAGATCGTGGAAGCGGGGATGTCTCAGCACGTCGCGTGGGCGCTCGCGAGGAGCGCGGAGCTGATGCCTGGGGAGCTGGTGCTCCGCGGAGGGTACCTGTTCATCCACGCGCAGAGGGGGGTGGGGGGAGGGGCTTCTTAGAAGCACCCCTGCCTCTTAGCAGGCGCGGGCTTTCTCTATAGATTTGAGGCCGGCGCCTTCTGAGAAGCAGGCTCCTTCTAAGAAGCCCTCCCCCCTCCCTCCACCCCCTTGTGCGCGCCGCCAGCCTGTCCATCACCTCCTCTTGCCAGGGCCGGCCTGGCCCCCGGGATGGTGTGCATTCGTGCGCGGCCTGTGTGCACCACACCGCGTCGGCGTCTCCCGAGGCGTCGTCGATCTTCGTGCCAGGAAGTGAGCGGTTGAGGGCGGGGAGGAGGAGGAGGAGGAGGAGGAGGAGGAGGAGGAGGACCAGTGTAAACCCAAGAGGCATCAACGTTGTTGGAGTGAAGCCTCCCTCCAAGCTCCCTCTTCATAGTCCCCTACAACAATTGCTTTCAATGGAGGGAACTTCCTCGTTGGAAGACAACCGTTCGAAGACCCTGAAGTACGCCAAAACATTGTTCTCGGAATTCCAACGCCACGGATCAACCTGACGTTTGCGTCCTGACGATCCTGAATCGTGCCAGAAGGCCATTCCTGGGACTTCAACACCGCGAATCAACGTAAATGTTGCGCCCTCATAGTCCTGAATCCTTCGAAAACCATTCTGGTACGTTGATCATGGTATCCGTGAAATTCTTGCACTCTTTACAAGCGAATGTGCGCGGCGCTAATGCGAGAGCCACATTTTGAAGAGGAGCTGCCCTCAGTCTGTGAAACTCTTGCATTGCATATGTTTAAACGAATGTGCGCGGCGCGAAGGCGAGAGCCACATATTGAAAAACATTTGCCTTCACCCCGTGAAACTCTTGAAACTTTTTAAGCAAATGTGCGCGGCGCTAAGGCGAGAGCCACATTTTGCAAACGACCCACCCTTCATCTGTGAATCTGCTGCCAAATTTTCAGCTTCAGAGTCATACATGGTGAGGAAGTCTCAGGCAAAACGCCCCGCCCGCCCTAAAACTGGCCTCGGGGTGCGACAGGGACGAGTTTTTCAGAAGGAACAGGAATGGAGGAGGAGGAGGAGGAGGAGGAGGAGGAGGAGGAGGAGGAGGAGGAGGAGGAGGAGGAGGAGAGGGAGGAGGGAGGAGGAGGAGGAGGAAACAGGAGGGGAACAGGAGGGAACACGAGAGGAGGAGGAGGAAGGAGGAGGAGGAGGAGGAGGAAGAGGAGGCGGGGGGAGGCGGTAGGCGGAGGGGAGGCGGATGCGGAGGCGGAGATGGAGGAGGAGGGGGAGGGGGAGGAGGGGAGGAGGAGGAGGAGGAGGAGGAGGAGGAGGAACATGAGGAACCGGAGGGGGAGGAAACAGGAGGAACAGGAGGAACAGGGGAACAGGAGGAGGGAGGAGGAGGAGGAGGAGGAGGGAGAATGAGGAGGAGGAGGAGGAGGAGGAGGAGGAGGAGGAGGAGGAGGAGGAGGAACAGGAGGGGGAGGAGGAGGGAGGAGGAGGAGGAGGAGGGAGGAGTGAGGAGGAGGAGGAGGAGGAGGAGGAGGAGGACAGGAGGAGGAGGAAAAAAAACCATGAGGAGGAAGGAGGAGGAGGAGGGAGGAGGCAGGAGGAGGAGGGAGGAGGAGGAGGAGGAGGAGGAGGAGGAGGAGGAGGAGGAGGAGGAGGAGGAGGGAGAGGGGGGGCGAGATGAGCAGGAGGAGGAGGCGGGGCGCCAGGAGGAGGCGGGGCGGCAGGAGGAGGGGTTGGAGGAGGCCTGCGGTGTCCTCGAGCCGGAGCGGCTTGAGCGGGGCCTGCCGGAAATCCGAGCATGGTGCTGCGCATGGGCACTGCTCTCGCAGTGCAGGCCCCCCAGCCTCAGCTAGGTGGTGGCCCTGGCCGGTTCGGGGCTCAAGCCTCGACCCTCTGGGCCCGTGCAGGGGTGCGCCTGGGCCAGGGTTTCGGGGGGGACCTGGCCCTGGCGAGGAGGAAGCCTCCAGGAGAGGCCCAAGCAGGGCGACCTCGATCCTCGACGCGCAGATGCCCCCCCTGCACAGGTGCTGGACCCGATGTGCGGCAGGGGCGTGACCCTGGTGGAGGCCGCGCTGAGCTGGCCCTCCTGCCGGCACTCGAGGACGAGAAAACGACATGCTCCGCGCGGTCTTCCTGGATCGGCGCTGCACCCCCGTCCCTGGCGCGCTCCGCGCGCCGGGGGCCAGCGGCAGGGGGGTTCAGCGCCGATCCAAGAGCCAGACCTGTAGAAGCATGAGCTTTCGGGGTCTCCAGCGCCGCCCCTGTCGCGCTCCGCGCGCCCGGGCGGGGGGCTCGGCGCCGACGTGCCAGATGCGCGCGGAGCTCCGAAAGTTTGGTGCCTGTGCAGTTTTCCTGCTGCTCCTCCAGGTACGTGGGCGTGGACAACGACGCAGAACAGCTGCAGGCCGGGGGGGAGGGGGAGGCGGAGGGTGCTCGCAGGCGAATCTCTCGCCCTCGAGTCAGGATCCATTTCGAGGATTTTAGAGGTTCGGGGTGCGAGGTTTCCAGACTTCATCGGGCAGTGGGGTCTCCGCTGGTTCAGGCAGGCGGCCAGGTGGGGGTGGTACCGGTGGCCGTGTCTCGGGGTGGCATCTCGAGGCACCTCGCAACGGCGGCGCAGATGAGACGCCTGGGGCGTGTCTGTGCTGCCATTCATGTTGCGAGGTCCGACTTCATGTGAATTCATGCAGGCACCTCGGACACCTTCCTTCGGGTTGGGTGCGTTGCCAATGCCAAAAAAACGAGATTTCCAGACGTTCTCGTCGGTCCTCGGCGGTTCCAGCAGCTGCGCCCCGCCGAGGGCGTGCGGGGGGGCTTCCAGAATCGTCCCGAGCGGCTACCAGAGTCCCGAAGCAGGATGCGGAGGGCGGACGTCGTCGTCGTCGTCGTCGTCGTCGTCGTCGTCGACAACGTCGACGACGATGGCGACAACGACGGCGATGACGACGAGGCGTCATCGAGTTGTCCTCCTGCCCCCAGGGTCCACATCGATCCCGTCGATCCGATCCGACGTCGACTCTGGCCGGCCCGATCCGACCAGTGTCGGGTGCTCGGGCGATCCGACGCGGCCCGTTGCTTGCATGGCGCTGTTGTGCATCGTGGCGCAGCCGATCCGATTCGATTCCAACTCCGTGACGATTCGGCCCGATCCGATGCACATCTCGGTTCGGTTCGATTTTCCAGTTCGGTTCCGACGGATCCTGCCCCCCAGCCGAGCCTACCCCAAAGTTGGCCGCTCAGAAGAGGCGTGTAACTCAGGGATACACCAGCGGGGGGCTGCCCAGACGCACCCACGTTCGAGGATGGACGCGCCCCCCCATCGTGCACCCCCGAGTGTGTCAAACTGTTCGTCGTCCAGTCGAAGACCCCACAAAATCTGGGGTGGAGGTCGCCATTGCCCCTGTTAGTAGGTGCGTCGCCTCCAGCTCACTTTTCAGAGCTCCGGAGGAGTACGAGCGGGTGCTCCAAAGAAGGACTCCTGGGAGGTACCAGGGGGTCTCCACTCCTCCTCCTCCTCCTCCTCCTCCTCCTCCTCCTCCTCCTCCTCCTCCTCTTTTCGGGAATCCAAGCCCGGGTTGCCCCGGGCCCGAGTTACCCCAGATATCTCAGGCGCTCCCGAACGATCTGCGCTGCAGAGGAGACCCATGCCAAGAAACACCCCGCTTGCTTCCAGGGTGCCCTCCGACGGTTCTGCTATGGAAAGCGTGACGGTCCCATACCAGAGACCAATGGTGGCCCTGGGGTCGCAGGGTTGGGTTTCTGAGGGAAGGTTTCTCTTGTGGTCGGGCCCCTACTGCCTCGGAAACCCGCAGGCTAAACGATCCAGGAAGCTCCAGAGACCAACGTCTGCGTCGACACGACGCGAACCTGCAGCAGCCCACTCGAGGCGTTCCAGAAAGAGCCGTGCCTGAAAGGGTGGGAGGAGTTGCCGTCTCTTCCTCGGCGGAAGGCGGCGGAGGGTCGCGGAAGCAGAACGAGGCCGCATCCGCCGGCGGAAGCCGGCGGAAGCCGGCGGAAGCCGGCGGACGGGCGGCGGAAGGCGGCGGCAGTAAGCTATGCGCCCCCAAGAGATGAAGACGCTTTTGGGTTCTGGAGGAGGAGGAGGAGGAGGAGGAGGAGGAGGAGGAGGAGGAGGAGGAGGAGGAGGGCTTCCGCAACCGCCCACTCGGCAAGGCGCGGGGTTGCGCCCAGGCAGCCCCCCAGAGGCCGGAAGCAGAACGAGGCCGCATCCGCCGGCGGAAGCCGGCGGAAGCCGGCGGAAGCCGGCGGACGGGCGGCGGAAGGCGGCGGCAGTAAGCTATGCGCCCCCAAGAGATGAAGACGCTTTTGGGTTCTGGAGGAGGAGGAGGAGGAGGAGGAGGAGGAGGAGGAGGAGGAGGAGGAGGAGGAGGGCTTCCGCAACCGCCCACTCGGCAAGGCGCGGGGTTGCGCCCAGGCAGCCCCCCAGAGGCCGCCCCGCCCGCGGCGCCCCGCCCCGCAGGGCTCGGGGTGCCCAGGCCGCCCCCGGGACTCCTCCGCGGGGGCCCCCTTGTGGAGGCCGGGCGGCTCCACCTCGGGGGGCCGCCCGCGCGCAGCTCCGAGCCCTGGCGAGGAGCCCGTGCCTCGCCTCCGGCCGAGCGCGCCCCCGGAGGTTGCGCCCGCGTGGCGTCGCGGCACGCCGCACGCTGTCGCTGCCGCCCTCGGAGGGCACCAACTATACACCAACACCGATCCTGGCCAGGATCACCCTGGGCCCAGGATCGGTGTATATGCCTTCTTGCGCAGGGCAGGAGGGCGTATACACCGATCCTGGGCCCAGGGTGATCCTGGCCAGGATCGGTGTTGGTGTATAGTTGGTGCCTTCCTACGCCCCCCCCGCGCACCACGTCATCCGCTGGCCTCGCGGGCCGTCCCGGAAGGCAGGCGTCACGACACAGGACGCCTCGGCCGCAAGGAGGGTAGCAGAAGTCCCAGCCCTCACGCGTTGAGCTGGGGCCCCGCTTTGAGTCAGCAGCGCGCGCATCTCTTCCTCCGTTCGGCTGGCCTCCACCTCCAGCCGCCGCCCCGACGCACGTCTGTGCTCTCCGATGCGTGTCCGTGTCTTCGTGCGTGCCCCCACCCGGTCGTAGTTAGGCCCAGACACTTGTCCGCTGAGGTGCTTCGTTCGTTCGCGCGGCCACGCGCAGATGGGGGCAGGGGGAGGGGGGAAGGCTTCTTCAGAAGGACGCTGCTTCTCTCAGAGGGCGCGGGCTCTGTCCAGTTAGATGTGAGGCCAGCGCCTTCCAGGAAGCAGCCTCCTTCTGAGAAGCCTTCCACCCTCCCCAATGCCCCCCCCCTCAGGCTCGCCGCCGGCCCAGCCTGCACGCCCCCCGCCCCCCCGCGGCCTCCGCGGCCTCCGCGGCCACCGTCGACCTCGGCGGAGGTCCCGGGAGGCCGCCGCCGCCGTGCCTGCCTGCCGGCAGGCCGGTCCCGGCCGCCGCCGCAGGGAGCCCCGCGCTCCGCCCCAGGCGGGACTGAGGGCGTGCAGGGGGGAGGGAGGCGAGGCTGATTTTTTGGAGCTCCACGCCCACCGCCTCCAGATGCCTGACGACTGCAGGCCAGCACAGCTGCCACGGAGAGAGGCGCAACTGGTAGAGAAGAAGCCATGCATCAGACTCTTCACTCTGGCTGCCGGCGCCAGTGGGAGGCGTCAGCGGCCAAGAAGCGAGGCGGAGGGGCAGGAGGAGGGATGTGGAGGGGGAGGAGGGGGGGGGGAAGGAGGAGAGGGGAGGAGGAGGAGGAGGAGGAGGAGGAGGAGGAGGAGGAGGCGGGGAGGAGGAGGAGGAGGAGGAGGAAGAAGAGGTCAGGAGGAGGAGGAGGGGGGGAGAGGGGAGGCCGCGCCGCGCCGCGGCCCGAGCCCGCCCCGCCCCCCCCCTCCCCTCCGCCGGGGCGCTCTTCGGGCCGCGGCGCTGCGGCCCGATCGCGGGCCGCCGGGCGCCGCCCGCCCTCTGCCCCGCGGGGCGGCATGGCCGCGGCGCCGAGGCACGGGCGCAGGGATGCCCACGATCAGAGATCGCCGGCGAGCGAGGGGGGGAGGGGGTAGGAACTCGAACAGTGGACGTGTGAAGTCCTCGTTGATAGGACGGGGACGCACCGTCGGGCAGCTCGGCGGGCCGCGGCCAGCGGCGGCTGATCCAGCACCCTCTAAGGATTCTTATGCTCGCCGCCGTGCGCGGCTGTATGGGCCTTCGTGCCCGGGCGTTCCATAGCCCAGATTTCATTTGAAATAGAATCTTGCGAGGGTCGCCATAGTTCAGCGAGGGCTATCCATGAGGCCCGCTCATAGGCGAAGACCGTCTGGTAGAGGCAGCCCTCTGGAGGCACAAGCAGGGAAGAGCCATTTCACCAGGAATCGTAGGGAAAAGTCCGAGTCTGGCTGTATTGCTCTTTGTATGATCAGGGGCACACCCGTGGCGTGCCCGCCTCAGATTCGGAGCATGGGGGCTGCCTCGAGGAGAAGGCTCGTGCCCTCCCGGGTGTTCTCTCTGCACTCCGCCCCGACCGCCGAGCGCCTGGGGCCGGCGGCGAGCGAGGGGGGAAGTGAGGAGGAGAAGGCCTTCTCGGAAGGTTTGGAAGTCCCCCAGCCTTTGAGACGTTCTCTAAGCCTTTCCCGGAGACGCAAAGAGCTTCTCGGGAGGCGCGGGGGCTTCTGAGAAGTCCCGCCGCCTTTGGGAGTGCCTTCTCCTTCTCATTTCCCCCCCTCGCTCGCCGCCGAAGAGAGTCCAGATTGTGCCAGGCACTGTCCGCAGCTGGACCCTCCCCCCCCCTCTCGAACGAAGGCCTGACGTGTCTGCTGTGGCCGCGGCCAGATCTCCCCCCCCGCCCTTGCGTCGTGGAAGTAAGCGGGAGGGACGTCAGGTAGCCGTTGTCGGCCTCCGGGGGCCCTGGCCGGGTGGTGTGGTCCTTCACGGGAGCCGCGGCGGGTCCCCGGGGCTCCTGGCGGGCTCGGGGAGCTCGCCTGGGTTTCGCCGGATGTGGTGGACATTTGGACGCTCTCTGCACTGAAAGGGTGAAGAGGGGGGGTCGGAGTTTGGGCGAGCTCCAGTCGAAAGCACGTGTATGATAGGGCCGCGGAGGTCCACAGATGCTCCCAGGAAGGCTCGCCCAACCCACGAGCAGAAAGGCCGAGGGGCGCCAGGGATTGGCCCCCCCCCCCCCCCCAAACCTTGGCGGGCGGCTGCTTCTTTCGGGGCTGGCGATCACCCGGGTTGGCGGGCCCGCCCGCTCAACCCCCCCGGGGATGGCCTGACCGTGTCCGTGTCGTGGGGGTCCGATGGGGGTGCGCAGTGTCGGGGCACACGTGGGGCTGCCCCAGGCGAAAAGGTTGGGTTCGCCGCTGGAACCTCCCCCTCCCCCCCTCCTCCCCCCAAATAGGATAACCGGGGTTCTCACGGAAAAATTGCCCGAGGCGAGCCCGACCCTTTCTCCACGCAAGGCGACTATCCTTATGCACGCCCCACGCAAAAGAGCACGGTGCCAGTCAGACATGCAGCACTCGGAATTTTGCCGCCTGACATTGTCGGGCCATGCGCGTCGCGTACCTGCGCATGAATGGGCCGCTGAGGACAATGCCATGCGCCACGTGACGTTCTGGCGCTCTGCGCCCTGTGATGCAACAACGTGGCGCGCTAAGAAACGGGACGGCGCCACGCGCCATGTGGTCACGCGCCCTATGGACGCTCTGCACTCCGACGTGCCTCCCAGGAGCCCACGAAAGTGGCGACGATTGCTCAGTTTGCAGCCCCCGTGGGTGCCGCGATGTGTCAACTGATCTGTGCTGCCGTCACTTCCGCCGTGCTTCCCAGGAGTCCACGAAATTATGGTCAGGTTCCCCAGGGACCGCGAGGTCTCAAAGTGATCTGCGCTGCCCTCACCTCTGCCGTGCCGCCCACGAGCCCATGGACGTGGCGACAGTTTCGCTGTTCGCAGCCCCCCAACGGGCCGCTTGGTCTCGAGGTGATGTGCGCTGCCCTTCGCTCCGCTGGACTTCCTGGGAACCCACGCGAGGGGCGACAGTTGCGCATTTCGCAGTGCCAGGGGGCCGCGAGGTCCCATCTGGATGCTCGTATATGCGCGTGCACGTCCACCCGGGTGGAATTCCCAGGCGCCCACGAAAGTGGCGACAGTTGCGCAGTTCGCAGCCACCCAGGGAGCAGCGAGGTCTCATCTGGATGCGCGTGCACTTCCATTCCGCAAGACATCCCAGTAACCCACGAAAGTGGCGACAAGTTCGCAGTTCGCAGGCACCCCCGGGGCCGCGGGGCTTCGTCTGGATGCGCGTACACCTCCATTGTGGTGGTCTTCCCGGGAGCCTGCGAAAGTGGCGACAGCTGCGCAGTTCGCAAGTTTCCTGGGGATCGCGAGGTCTTTTCTGGATGCGCGTACACCTCTACCCCAGAGGACGTCTCAGAGCACACGGGAGTGGCGTCACTTGCGCTGTTCGCAGCCCCTCCCCAAGGGGGCCGCGAGGTTTCGTCCGGATGCGCACGCACCTGACTTCCCAAGAGCGCGAAAAATGCGACACCTGCGCAGTTCGCAGCCACCCAGGGAACAGCGAGGTCTCATTTGGATGCGAGTACACCTCCAATCCGCTGGCTCCCAGGAACCCACGACAGTAGCGACAGTTGCGCAGTTCGCAGCCACCGAGGGAACTGCGATGTCGCGTCTGGATACGCGTGCATCTGCACCCCGTTGCATTCCCAGGAGCCCACGCATGGCGCGACAATTGTGCAGTTCGCAATCACCCAGGGAACAATGAGGTCTCATCTGGATTCGCGTACACCTCCACTCCGCTGGGCCTCCCAGGAGCCCACGAAGGTGGCGACAATTGCGCAGTTCGCAGCCACGGAAGGAATCGCGGGTTCTCGTTTGGATGCGCGTGCGTTTTCATGCACCCCGTTGGACTTCCCACGGGCCCGCGAAAGTTGGCGACAGTTGCGCAATTCGCAGCTACCCAGGGAGCAGCGAGGTCTCATCTGGATGTGCGTGCAACTCCACTCCGCTCGACTCCCTAGCAGCCCGCGCACGTTGGAAAATTGCGCAGTTCGCAACCAACCAGGGAACAGCGATGTTTCGGCTGGGTCCGCTTGGCCCCCCCGCTAGACCTCCCAAGAGCGTACGAAAGTAGCGCCAATTTCGCAGTTCGCAGCCACCCAGGGAGCAGCGAGGTCTCTTCTGGATGAGCGTACACCTCCATTCCGTTGGACCTCCCAGGAACCCACGAAAGTGTCGACAGTTGCGCAGTTCGCAGCCACCGAAAGAGCCGCGATGTCTCGTCTGGATGCGCGTGCGCCTGCACCCCATCACGAAAGTGCGCCAGTGGATTCCCTGAATTCACTAAAGGGGGAAAGGGGGGGGGGGGTCGGACCCCTCCCTCCCCCCCTTCAAATGGGGGAAGCGGGGGGTTCCGACCCCCCCCCTCCCCCCTCACCCGTCCCCCTTAAGGGGGGAGGGGGTTCCTTCCCACCCCCCCCTTCCCCCCCTCCCTTGAGGGGGGGGGGCGTCCGGACCCCCCCCCCCTTCCCCCCTGGCGCTGGAAAGGGGGGAAGGGGTCGGACCCCCCCCCTTTGCGCCAGAAAGGGAGCTGGGGAGGGGGGGCCTCTCTCGCTTCTCCTTGTTGCGCCGGGGAAGGTGTGTAGGGAGTCCGGAGTTGGGAGTAGGGAGTGGTGAGTCGTGAGTAGCGAGTTAATGCGTAGTGAGTAGTGAGTATTGGGTAGTGAATAGTGGGTAGTGAGTGACGAGTAGGGATTAGGGAATAGGGAGTAGGGAGTGGGGAGTAGTGAGTAGTGAATAGTGAGTAGTGTGTACTGATAAGTAAGTAGTGAGTGGCGAATAGTGAGTAGTGAATAGTGAGTAGCGAGAAGCGAGTAGTGAGTACTGAGTAGGGAATAGGGAGTAATGGTAGTGGGTAGTGAGTAGTGGGTAGTGAGTAGTGGGTGGCGGTTAGTGATTAGGCAGTAGTGAGTAGTGGGTACTGCGTTGTGCGTAGTGAGTAGTGGGTCGTGAGTAGTGAGTAATTAGTGAGTAGTGAGTAGTGAGTAGTGAGTAGTGAGTAGCGAGTAGTGAGTAGTGAGTAGTTAGTAGTGAGTAGTGAGTACTGAATAGTACGTAGTGCGTAGTGAGTAGTGAGTAGTGATGAATAGAGAGTCGTGGGTAGTGGCAGTGGGTAGTGAGTAGTCAGTAGCGAGTAGGGAGTAGCGAGTAGTGAGTAGTGAGGAGCGAGCAGGGCGTAGTGAGTAGTGAGGAGTGAGTAGAAAGTAGTCAGTAGTGAGTAGAGGGTAGTGATGAGTGAGTAACGAGTAGGGAGTAGCGAGTAGTGAGTAGTGAGTAGGGAGTAGTGAGTGGGGAGTACGGAGTAGGGAGTAGTGAGCAGTGAGTAGTAAGAAGTGGGTAGCGAAAAGTGGGTAGTGAGTAGCGATTAGTGAGTAGTGAGTAGTGGGTAGTGAGTAGTGGCTATTGACTAGTGAGTAGTCAGTTGTCCCCAGTGACTAGAGAGTATGTAGTGACTAGTGAGTAGGGAGTAGTGAGTAGTGAGTAGTGAGTAGTGAGTAGTGAGTAGTGAGTAGTGAGTAGTGAGTAGTGCGTATGGAGTAGCGAGTATGGGAGTAGCGAGCAGTGAGTACTGAGTACTGTGTAGTCAGTATTGTGTAGGGAGTAGGGAGTAGCGAGTAGCGAGTAGTGGGTAGTGGGTAGTGATTTGTTGGCAATGAGTAGTGAGTCGTGGATAGTGGGTAGTGGGTAATGAGTAGTGACTAGTGAGTAGTGAGTAGGGAGTAGTGAGTAGTGCTTACTGATTAGTGAGTATTGAGTAGTGGGTAGTGAGGAGTGAGTAGGATTATGGGGGAGGGAGTAGTGAGTAGGGAGTAGTGAGTAGCGAGTAGTGGGTGGTGGGTAGTGAGTAGTGGATAGTGAGTAGTGAGTCGTGAGTAGTGAGTAGGGGTAGTGAGAAATGAGTGGCGAATAGCGCATAGTCAGTAGTGGGTAGTGAGTAATGAGTAGTGAATGCTCTTTGGGGCTGGGGTTAGTGGTTGGTGTTCAGATTAGGGGCTTGGGTTGGGGTGAGGACTGGG